TGGGTCTCGAAGTCCAAATGCAGGTATTGATTAGCAGAGCCGTGATCCCTGAGAAGGCAGCCGCCCCAGGAGAGCTAGGAACTTTAGTGGTGGCTCTGAGGACCGGGCCACCGTGGCTGGCCCCCGGGATCTGTCCTCCACCCCTGCTAAGTGGCGCAGCAGCCGGAGAACCAGCCAGGGTTGACAAGGGCTCACTGCCACGGGCCTGGCAGGGTACCTTCATTAGCTTGGTCCTGATGGCCTTAGCTCTTAGGTTAAAGGCAGTTATGTCCTCTTGAGACCAAATGGTTGGCTTCCTGCCCAGTTCATGTTAACTTAGCGTTCTTCCTCCAGGATGGCTATTAACCCAACCTCAGGACCAAGCAGGTCAGGACAGACTTTTTTTTTTCTATCGACATCAAGAGCAACAAAGAACTCTACCTATCCTCAATAGGCAAGTTTCACCCCAGGCGGAGGTGCGTTTTCTCAGCCCGCTGAGTGCTTGTAACGGCTGTGAACAGAAATGCCTTTCAACGGGGGCATTTACTGCCTTTTACTGTTCCACCCGCCTGGTCCCCACCACTGTCTGCCCACTTACCTGTGCAAGTGACCTGCCCAGCCCTGGCAGGCATACGCAGCCGCGACCCTTGTTAGAGCACATCGTCGTGACAAAGAGTAACACAAGATAACAATAGTTAACATTTGTGCGGCACCGGTGACCTGTGTAGTCACCGTTTCAGTGCTTTACCTGTAGTAAGTCAGGGAGTGCTCACAGCGGGCTTGCGTGTCAGGTGTTGTCATCTCTGTCTTACAGCTGAGGCACAGGGAGATGGCCCGGCCCCCACACCTAGTGCTAGGGGCTGATTTGTGTCTCTCCCCGAGTTCCTATGTTGAATCCAAACCCCGAGCACCTAAGACAATGACCTTACTCGGAAACAGAATCCTTGCGGTGTCCCTGGTGAAGATGAAGTCACACTGGAGTGGACTGGGCCCTGGACCCAGCACCAGGGGTGTCCTTCTAACACGGGGGACTTTGGACACAGGCCTGCGCACAGGGACGATGCCAGGCGCAGAAGAAGGCAGGGACCGAGGCGATGCTTCTGCACCCGAAGGACGCTGAGGACGGTCAGCAAACTCTCCGACGCCAGGGGGAGGCAGAAAACAGGTGCTTCCTCGCAGCTCTCAGAAGGAACCAACACCCCAAAGTCTAGGCCCTATACTTGGATGCTCTGTGGCCTCTTGGTAACTTCTGGGAAGTTCCCTGGCACTGGGCTTTGCTCACCGCAGGTGAACAAAGGAACATGGGAACTGTTAGTATTAGACCTGCCCCTTCTCTGAGAGGGGCCCTTTGCCTTTCCAGGAAGTCAGGGATGGGGCCGACTCCTGCCTGCCCTTCACCCGCTACTTGGAGTCAGAAGCCGGGGGCTCCCAGCTCTGTGTCTTCAGCGGATCCTACATCCATCTTCCACAGCGGCAGCAGCGGGTCCCTGTGCCCGGATGACACCGCCACTTATCGGTGAGAAAATTAAGACCCAAACAGATAAAGTGACTGTCCTGAAACATGCAGTTTCATGTTCATTTTCAAACACTCAGATTTTGGCGACCAGGGGTGATGTGTCGTGTCGAGCATGAGAGCAGGAAAAACAGCTTCTTTTTTCCTATTTCGAACGCGGCCAAGCCCCACTTGGTAACTGTTTGTTGAAGGAAAGAATGAATAAGCCCACACCGCACTTGTCTACCCAGCCGCTTACTGGAGTCATGCAGATGTGTCACCCTCCACTGGGACCTGGGGCTCGCAGGCGCCAGGCTGTGTCATTGCCTCCCTCTGCCCTCCCACGGCAAAGCGCAGAAGGACTTTGCTTGTCCTGCTGGGGGATGATTCCGGAACTCACAAACACACGCGGCTCTCTGAGTGCGCACTGCGGAACCCGCGGAGGTCTGCCTGACCCAGGGCGTAACACGTGCCGCGCAAATAAGACACCCCATAAGTGAGCACCGCCCCGAAGAGACGAGATCTCCTGCATGGAGTTTTATTTTATTTGTTAGTTTTTTTTTTTTTTTTTTTTTAATGCTCCAAGAGGGCATTTTGAAACCCGAGGAGTTAAACTCAATATTTGCCCAATCAATTCCAGGGCAAGGGGTGGTGGCGCGGAACAAATAGCTAGGTGACTTTGCTCCCAGCTCAACATTTCCTACTGATGCATTCATTCCTTCATTCAACAAATCCCAGCGGGGCCTCTACCGTAGATGGTTGGCACTGGGTCCAGGCGAGATAAAGGGTGCAGGGTGAAGGGGGCCCTGCCTGGGAGATGTTCAGCTAATAGGGGCCTGGGGTGGGGCCAGGAATTCTCATCGGGCCAACCATGTCTGATGGCGGTCGGAGTGGCCTTGGGAGGAGAAGAGGGGTTTATGTGAGGTCTTGGTGGAGTTCAGGTTCTCAGGCAAGCAGACCTGCAGGGACAAAGGCGTGGAGGTGGCACACACTCTGGGCGCCCTGGGGAAACAGCAAGTCTCTCTGCAACCGCCAGCACCAGACACGGGAGAGCAAGAGGAAGGGCTGAGGCAGGAGGGCAGGCAGGGGCCAGACCAGCGAGAGCCTTGACTGCAGAGAGAGGCCTCTGAATTGTATCTTGTAGGCAATAGGGAGCCCTCGACTGCGTTTGAGTAGTGCAGGGGCGGGATCAGCCAGAACAAGGCAGCTCCACTCTCAAGGTTAAACTGAGGGCGACTTGTTCCCCTTCTCTCCTCTTCGTCACACCAGGGCTCCACTAAATCCCAAGCCACCCTGGCATGGTTACCACTGCCATGGTAACCCTAGACTGTGGCCTTCTTTTAGGCTTGTCATTGACCCTGAATCCACCCATACACCCGCCTCTGTAACGGCAGGAGTGAGTCAATCGGGTGCGATTTTATTACTTGTGTGGTTGCTGAAAAACAGAATCCACCTTCCCAAGAGGTGTGGGGAAAATGGACCAATATTTGAGCTTAGCAGGCATGTTTTCAGCCAGGGGTTGGAAGGGAGGGTGTGCGTTCCTCTGGGCCCTGGAGGGCCTGTGGGGTCCTGGAGTGTTCCCTGCAGAGGGTCTCCTAAAACGCAGCCACAGCCGGTGGGATTAACACCAGGACCCGTCCTCTGTCCCTGTTCTCCTTAGGCCAGCCTCGTGGCCAGCTGAGCGCTGTATTTTAGAGGCAGGAAGGGGGAGGAAGCCCCTTGTCTTCCCTCTTCTGCCTTCCTTCCTTCTGCAATGGCCGGGCACCATGTCACACAATCCCTGGAATATTTCAACTCTTGAACGAGTGTCAGTGCTGGAGGTGGCTCTGCAGCCTTGGCTCTCCTTGGTCACCAGTGAAAACTGGGTTTGTGACAGTCAGATGTCCTGTGTGTCAGAGTCAAGGGCCTGGGCCAGCTGGGTCTTGTTGTCAAGCCCGCAGCCAGAGTTTCCAGAACCGGCCATGGGCCTCCTGGGCCCCGCGCAAGCGTCTGAGGGGAAGTGGCAGGTGAGCACCATTCCTGAAGCCGAGAAGATTCCTTGAGCTGGCCCCAAAGTAACACCCTCCTCCTTTCAGCCTAGAACAGACTGTGAGGAGACATCTCACCCCAGCTGGGTCTACTGAGAGAGAGGGAGGAGAGCTGAAGAACCTTCTAGAACCTTCTGGAAGCTCAATTAGGAACTTTGGGCACCAGGATTGTGCCAGAAGAAGAACCCACAAAACTTCTGCAGTATTGAAGCCTCCCCCTGCTGGGATGCTGTGTCTGTTTTGCTGAGTAGTAAAAATGCCAATACGAGAAGAGTTGAGGGTCCTCAGATGGCAGGTGGATTCGGTGGCCTCCAACTCAGAGCCAGTGGTGGCAGCACTGATTGTCTGGGGCCACAGGAATGGTGGCAATAATAATATAGCAAATGTTTGCCTGCACTACTTTAAGACTTCATATACATAACAGCTTAATCTTCAAAATGATACTACGAGAAAGGCAGTAGTATCACCATCTTTATGTTATACATGTAAATAATGAGGCCCAGAGAGGTTAAATGACTTCTCCAAGATCACACAGCTTCTAAGTAGGGAAGCTGGGATTTGAACCCAGGAATTCTGATGTTGATCTTGCCAGCAACCTGGACACTGCACCGAGTGACAGCAAAATGGGCTGCCTGGCTCATGGCCAGAGGGTGAGGGGTTCATGGCAAAGCATTGTGGGACCTGTGGCCCCGGACCCCAAAGCAGAGGTAGGTTGGGCCCAGGAAGGGAAGCGGGGGGCCCTCCTGGCTGGACTGTCCCCAGCTCTAACTGCCCCAGGGAACTGCATGTCCATGGTGGAGGGCTGGAGACCTCACTGGAGCCTGGCCTGTCGCTGACGCACGGGCCATCCAGAAAACCCACAGCGCCCTGCCCAGAGAAGTGCATTTGCCAGAAATGACTGAGGCTTGGGGCACACAAAGCCAGGTCCTGTGGGCCTGTCCCCTCCAGTGGGAAGGATGAGTTTATTCTCACTCCGGGTAGACCCTCCTCAGAGAACTCATCCCATACACTCAAACGGTCTGAGCCAGGGAGCCGGCACATATTACCCAGATAGGGAAACTGAGGCCCAAGAGAGGCAGGGATTTGCCTAAAGATTCGGAACACATCGGAGCAGAGCCAGGATGAGAAGACAGGGCTCAGGGTCCCATCACCTGCCTCGTGGCATGTACCTTGACCACGGCCTTCTGTCCTGGGAGAGATCTGGCCACAGATCGGTGGGGGCAGTGCCTCACGGAGCGTCCTGACCAGATGTCTGTCCAGAATGGCTGGTGCTCGGCCCTGCCACGGCCTCCCCAGCCCCTGCTCTGGAAGAAGGCACTGCCCTGCCTGGAGGCCACTGGCTGCACACATCACGTCCCCTTTTGCACACTCTGGGCAACCTACTAGAACTTGGAGCTCCTCATACCCTGTATCTGGGGCTGGGAGTGCAGGGCAAACCCCAGAGGGACAGGCGAAGGACACATCTATTGGGTATCCACTACGTGCAGCACACTGAACCAGCCTTTCCATAGTCACCATTTTGTTTAATCTGTACAACCCCCCGGAGGATTTCCCCCACTGTCCAGTGGTGGAAACTGGCTCAGAGAGGAGATGTCTGCCGCAGGTTGCACAGCCCTGGAAGCTGGGTGTCCAGTCCATGCCCATCTTGGTGCCACCCACACCCTGCCCCCTGACCTGGGCCTTCTGTGCTGGGTCTCGGAGTCTTCCTGGTCCCCCACTCCGAACATGGAGCTGCTGACACCCAGCCCTCCCCAGCACGTCCCCAGCTGGCGGCAGAGGAGCCAGCCCCGGGAGGGCTACGGCTGTGTGGGGTCGACGACCTTGCCCAGAAAGAGGACGCTCTGGGTGCTGCCGGAGAGGATCACCAGGAAGAAGGGCCGGTTGAACCACAGGACTCGGTGACTGTGCTGGGCGGATAAGAACCTGGTGGAGGAGCTGGTGGCCGCCGTAGCCTGGGTGCCGGCCTCGTTCACGTCCAGGGTGGCCTTGTGGAAGCTCTGGGGGAGAAGTCATGGGCATTGTCTCCAAGAGAACATAAGAGGCGCCCAGGCGAGCCTGGGAGGACCAGAAGCTGCACACTGCGGCTCCCCAAGCCACCCACGGGGGAGATGGCAGCAAGAACTTCCCACGGGGGTGGGTGAGCTGGCTGACCTCCTACTACGTGCAGTGATGGCAGCTGTCACTGTCCCTGCACTTACTCCTGGCCTCGTGCTCCACATGTGCTACCTTGTTTAATCTCATCACCACTCCGTGAGGTCAGCAGTGCTATGCCCATTTCGAAGGTGAGGGGGATTAATTCAGAGACTGGGTCCTCCCCGCCCGCAGATGGCATCAGAGGCAGACTGGAATTCACACTCTGAAACCCAGGGCTTTACCCTCTAATGCACTTTTGCTCTTCTTAGCTGAAGTCCTAGGTCTCTTTCTCTCAACTCGGAACTCTCCTTGACACAGGTGCACCCAACGCAGCCTCGTCTGCACCCTTCCTCTGTGCCTGTCACTGCGCCCGTCTCTCTCTGTCGCCACCATCTACGAGATGCCGTCTCCCTGAGTGGAGGATTGCTCTCTGAGAGCAGGGTCCACACCGTGTCCCCAGCACCGAGCACCGCGCCCGACACGTGGCCGATGGCGCCTGGATGTCGATGCCTGTGGGTGACCGAACATGCTCAGGCTCTGAGACTCCACGTGGGGGCAGGGAGTGCTCCCATCCCCCAGCAGCTCCGGAGGGCAGGAGCCCCCCAGAGACTGAGGTCTCTAGGGGTTGAGGACTGTTGATGACTTACTTTGGGCGCCTGCAGTTTCAGCTGGCCCGTGATGCCGGAGAAGTTAGCCCGAGGGGAGAACAGGTCGTGGAAGCCCAGCTTGGGCAAAATCTGATGTAATGTATAGGAGCCGGAAATGGAGAACTTGGGGAAATGCAACTCCAGTTTCCTGTAAAAATTCCTAAAAGGGGTTAAAACATTAGATTGGTGAATATTCTGGGGACCCCCCACTGCGCTGAGCCCTCCTTGGTGGCCCTCTCTTGGCGGCTCTGCTCTGCCAGGGTTCTGTCCCTGCACGCACCTTGGGCTCACTCATGCTGCCCCTCACTGGTGCTCCCAGAGGCTGAAGCCTGGACTCCTCTGCCCCAGGGGCTGCTGTGTGGGGGCCCCTGCCCCTGGGAGCTCCTGCTCAGGACAGGTTGTTCCTGTGGCGTGCCAGTGCCCGGGAGGGCAGATGCGCCTCTCCTGGGTGGCGGTTTGTCTTTGCCTCCGCTGGGGCCCTGGGGGGGGGCTTCACCTGGACTGGACCAGTCCCTTACGCTGGGTCAGATTCCCTCCACCACGAGAGCTGTGTGAATTTTACATTCACATGTGGCCTTGGGCCGGGGTACTTTTTCTTATATGTGGTTGGAGGCTTTTCTGCTCATAGCCCCAGCGTGATGGAGAACATCCTTGCTAATTTCTTGAGTGGCTGGATGGAGTTTTCGTGAACCCGCCCATGCCACCTCAGGCAGCCCTCTTGGCCAGGGGTGTCCCTTTTCCTTGCACGGAGGTTGACCCCAGAGAGGCAAACTCACTTGACCCAAGTCTTGTGCAGCAGAAGAGCGACGCCTAGAGCCCAGGATGCTTCGCGCCTAGGCAATTCTCTTTTCCCTGATTTTCAATATAACAGAAAAGTTCACCGCTTAAGGAAACCCATGGAAAATCTTACAGCAAGTGAGATTTCTTCGTAATTTGGCGATCACTCCCTATTTTGGGGCACTGGCTTTCATTGGAAAGGTACATCTGAAAGGCAGTACAGTAGATGCAGCCCCATGTGGCACATGGATTTACCTCTTCTGGAGCAAGTTGTTCCACCTCCTTAGCATCTCTGGAGTCAAGACCTCTTCCAACTCCTTCATTTTGCCTTGGTTAGGAAGAATAAAAAGCGCTGTCGCATCTCCTTTGTAATCCATGCGCAGCACGGAGCAGGGCAGGTACCGGTCGTGCAGGTACCAGTGGTGCTCATTGTCCTGCACCATCATGGGCACCTGGACCGTGGTGGACTCGTCCACATAGAAGGCTCTGTGGGTGGTCCTCGAGGTAGCGAACGGTTTCTCCCACAGAGCTGGAGAGAAGAAGGAAAGAAGGCACACGTCGTCTGGGGGCCACGAAGCCAATCCCCCGCCAGGGAACCGCGCCTGGCGTTCTGAGTCCCCGTAACCCTCGCTCCGGCCCTGCGGCATCCCATCAGTGCATATTACTCCCATCACTCAGGACCGGACATGCCTGGGGAATGGATCCCCTGGGGCTCATTCAGATCATAAAACGAGAGGTCGCAGAGGATGCTGTTTGCTGATGTGTGAATAGGATCGATACAGCGGAGAAGAAACCGATGAGGCTGGAAAGAGGCTTAATCGTTGGGTCAGCGTCCCTGAGAAGGAGAGAGGAGACTGCAGACTGTGAGCAGAGGGGTCGCCTTTCGGTAAGAGGGTCCCTTCTGCCATTACCAAAGGAGGGGCTCTGTGCTCCTGGTTCCAAAAGCGGGCAGGCGAGAAGATTTGGAGGTGAGAAGATGAGAGATTTCCTGCTTAACCGAGTCTGTTTTCTCAATGAAGTGTGAGGCAAGATTATAAAGTGAAAGTCAGGAGCGGGGAAGAGATGCGAGAAGGAAGAAGCTGTTAATGGTTGCTTTGGAGCCTGCAGAGAAGAGCAAACGGGATGGCTGGGCAGCGTGGGGAGAGCAGTGTGCACAGGGCTACGTGCACAAATATCAGGTGAGACCGTCAGCTCAAGTGGGAATTTTTCTCCAACCACAGTCAGCTGCTGGGTGCAGGTGTACACAGTTAGATCACTCGGGTTAAGCAGGTTTGCAGCTTGGCCAGGTAAGTAAGATGGAGGGGAGAGAAAGGCAAGGAAGCTAGGTGTTTGCAAGGAAGCAATGACATGGGTGGGCCGGGGAACCTCTGCCACGAGGAGAGGGGAGTGGGGCAGGAGGTTCTGAGCAGCGAGGTGGCGGCAGGTGGGGTGAATGGATTGAGGCCTCCGTGCCAGGAGTATTCGTCCAGAAAAAAGTAAGAGATCTGGGATTCCAACCAACAGCTTCCCGACGGTGAAACCCATATTACTGTCTTCCTTCCATACTTCGTTATTTCAAAACAGAATGTTTTTTAAAAAAGTTTTCAAAGGTGCACAAAAATTCCCCATGTAAATTACACGTGATGACTAATTTGGCTGGGTTATTTGTCTGGGAATGCTCCCAGAGTTGAGTCTGGGAATGCTCCCAGAGTTTTGTTCCCTGTGGATTCTGGGTTCCAGCCGGCTACTAGCATGATATTTGGAAGCAGATGTGAGGCCATTGTTGATCTCTGAAGGTCTTGCTGGTCAGCTATAATGAAGGACAGACCCAGCAGTGCCCTGTGTGCTTTGGTTTGTCCCTGTCTGCCTCCAAGCTCCTTTTCCCAACTCTAACCCTGCTGACCAACAGTGGCCCCAGGCCACCACCAGGTGCTCGGCAGCCAGCTGTCCACAAGGGCCCCCTCCACAGATCCACTCTGGTGTTGGAGTCATCCAGCACGTAGACTCCCGCTAGGCTCCGAGTTGTCCGCGCACGACGGCAACCTTCTCTCTGTCCCTCCACCTCTCCCATCTTCTAGACCCTCCCACACCAGGTGAGGACTAATTCCTGGGACAATAAATACACTCACCCTGGCTCGAGGTGACTCTGCTTCTCTGACGGAGCCTGACACACACTGTACAAAATCGTCCCCAAACCGTGATATCAGCTGTGCTAACACGTGTGTGTGTGAACTGAAGACCAGGAGAAAAGATGTTGAGACATTAACACTGGCTATCTCAGGGTGGTACAACTAGGGGTCATTTCCATTCTCTCTTTTATGCTTTTATGTATTTTCAGAGGCCTCCAGAATGAGCACTGTTATCATTACAATAATTACGGATGCTATTTCTTGAGTATATAGAGTGGTCAGTGGTTGAAAAACAAAAAGAGTTTGTAGAGACAGTAATGTGTTAGGCTTTGCTCGTCATTCGGCCTCTGCAGCAATTGCTCAATCTGCCATCGTAGCATGAAACCAGCCACAGACAACACATAAATGACTGGGCGTGGCTGTGTGCCAATAAAACTTTATTAACAAAACCAAGTGGCCGACCAGATTTGGCCTACAGGCTATGGTCTGTGCAGCCCTTTAGGCTGTCTTCTGAGAAGCGTGTCTTAGACCATTTCATCCTGGAAGCCAGTCTTTGAAGGGGAGACTCTTCTTACCCCTGTGTCAAGCAAACGAGCTGACCTGTTTACACTGTTGGTAGTGGCCAAGCTCAGACAGGGATCTGGCAGTTCAATTCATGATCACCGGCTATGAGGCACAGGCATTCCAAATATTACATTTATTAAGAAAATAAATTAGAAAATATGTCTAAAGGCAGAAAGGGATGGAAACCTTAATACGATAGGGCAGGGGTCCTCAAACTTTTTAAACAGGGGGCCAGTTCACCGTCCCTCAGACCGTTGGAGGGCCGGAACATAGTTTAAAAAGAACTATGAACAAATTCCTATGCACACTGTACATATCTTATTTAGAAGTAAAAAAACAAACGGGCAAAAACACCCGCATGTGGCCCGCAGGCCATAGTTTGAGGACGCCTGCTCTAGGGTCTTCAATATCTGACACTCTAACATTGTATCCTCTGAGGGCTGTTTGACCCTGTCAGACCCAACCTACCCACTTACTATTTTTGATATCTAACCAGCCAACAAATTAAGGGGTCGGGGGAGATGTAGGGCCCATGAATGACTCGACTCTTACCTTTGAAGTAAACGTAATTCACCAGCACCATCAAGGTGTCCGTGCTGAGCTTGCTGACCAAATCCACAATCTTCCCTTGAGTTTCCTGCTTGACGTGGTTGTTGATAAGCTGGGTAGTACCCACAGTGTCAGAGAAGTCGGTGTGGAAGAGTCTGGACTCATAGAAGGCCGTGGTCTCATTAAGGAATTTGGGGAGGAACGGCAGGTCCTGGTTCAGGAACAGGGCACTGCCCACATGCATTGCCAGCTCCCGGCTGGGGAGGTTGAGATTGTGCAGAAGGTGCTGGAAGCCCCCGTGGATGTCAGACTCGGACAGCTCTGTGAGGTTGAAGCCCAGGCCCTGGAGCATCTGGGTCTGGCTGTGCGAGCGGGCCCCCAGGGAGAGCATGGCCAAGGCGGCCGAGATGCTCAGCGGGGAGAAGAAGATGTTCTTCTTGGGGCTTTCGGAAGCGATCAGGTGGTAGAAGCGGAGGGCAAAGTTGGTATTGCCGGGGGCGATCCTGAGGCTGGGGGAGCCCTCATCTGTCCCCGGAACCTGCTGATGGGAGCTGTTGGTGCCACCCTGGCCTTTATGTTGAGGGTGTAGGTGGCCGTGAGAAAGAGCCAGCAGTGCGGCCAGGAGGAGGAGCAGGTGATTGGCAAGGTGCATCCTCTGCACTCTCAGGCCTGCAGGAGGAAAGAGAGTGGCCAGGACATGCCCCCGGCAGAACACAGAACCTTACCAAGAAGGTGGGCAGTGGGCCAGGTTGGTAAGGAGGCATGTTGAGCAGTCCCCGTCATCTTTCACACCCACCAGGACTCCGGAAAGTTTTCCTGCCAAGGGCCAGGTAGTAAAATCTGTGGCTTTGCAGGCCACACAGTCTCTGTGGCCACTACTCAGCTCTGCTGTGACCGCCGGAAGCAGCCACAGGCAAGACAAGCAGGAATGGCCGTGGCTGTGTTCTGGGAAGCTTTACTGATAGACACTGATGTTTGAATCGCATATAATTTTCCTGTGTCGCAAAATATCGTTCTTCTATTGATTTTTTTCAAAGCTTTATTCGTTTTATATTTATAACTTATATTTCAAATTTATATTTTATATTCATAAACTGTTTCCAATTTTATGTCTTGCATTCTTAGTTATGGGCAGTGAACAAGGCCAGATTTGGCCTGTGTGTAGTAGTTTGCTGGCCCCTGCCCTAGACCCCTGCAGGGCTGGGTCCCCACTGGCCTTTCTGCCCTCTGTTCTCCACGCAACAGCTGGGGAGATAATTTAGAAACATACCTGAGACCATGTCACTCACCGGCTCAACATCCCTCCTTACCAGCCCACACCCGCCTCCCAACACTTCTCTGGGCCTTACAGCGCCATGACCCAGGATTGCCCTTGGGCGCAAGTGCCCCAAAAGCACCCGGACTGGGAGCCGGAAGACCTGAGTGCCAGGTGTGTGCTGCCCCCCGTAGCTGCGTGTCCTGGGGGGACGCTCCTCTGGGTCTGGGCAATGTCCCACCGGCGCAGCAGGGAGGGTGGGTACAGGCACGCGTCAGGGTCTTTCTAGCCTGAGCATTTCTCACCCCACCCCAGCTTGCCCGGGACTTTCCTGGTTTTAGCATCGAGAGTTCCATGTCCCAGGAGAACTCTCAGTCTTGGGCAAACCAGGGCAGTTGGTCATTGTCTCCCTGGAGTCTCCCACATCTCCACGGTCTCAGAGGGTTACTCACGGTACAGTCAGTGCTGGAGTGGCCCCCGGTGGCTGTCTGAGCTCTAGAGGTGACTTCCCAGGCCCAGGAGGACTAGAGAAACAAGGCCCACTCAGCACCACCCACTGCCTCCCCATCAGGTAATTATTAATGAACAGGCCCTGGGCACTGGACGGAGTCGCAACATGGAGACAGACCTCACCGGAAGTTGGCTCGCTCCTCCCAAGAGAGCACCCCCTCTTCCCTCCCAGGGAGCCCCAAGAGGGCTCACCTCTCCCTGGAGGGTGTGCAGTGCCTGGAGGACGCGTGGCCCTTGCCTCTCCCTGAGGCCCAGGGGGACCCTGGGAGGGGAGGAGGTCTGGTCTCCACTCGGCCCCTCATGTGCTGTGTGAACTTAAGCCCATCCACGCCCGTCTCTGGGCCTCAGTCACTCACCCCCACCTGCACAAGGAGGGCTGCACCAGGCCAGCGCCAGCAGACCCCAGCGCCTCCAAGACCAGGTAAGGAAGCTCTAGAGTGACACGCAGGGAGCAGCGGGGACGTGGCAGTGGAGACAGCCTGCTTCCTATGAGCCAGATAAGACCCACTGTGCGCTGGTCAGCCCGGGCCTCCACTTCGCAATCCTGGACCATGTGGCTTCTGAGGATGGAGTCTGCTGAGATCTCACGGCTTGGATCATAAGGACAGTGTGACCCAGAGCAAGGGCGGCACGGGGTGAGACCAGACCCCTCCTTGGGCCAGGAATAATTTAACGTGCGTGTTTCCTCTTCAACTACGGAGTTAAACCTGCTTTCTCTCCAGTAACCAGTGAGCCTCTGCACCCCAGAGCCCTTCTCAAGCATCTGGGGAAGGACCACAGGGAGCGATGTGGCCTTGGGTCCCTGAATGAGATAACCTCGCCCCTTCGAGCTTCCTCTAGAAGAGTGTGTTTCAGGTCCTCAGGGCCTTAACCTAAGGGAGATAGACACCTGAGCATCAGGACGAGCAGGATCCCCGAGCTGGGCGAAACACGGAATGACAGAGCAGGCACAGCACAGCCCTGGACCCCGCTGGCCTGGGCTCCAGCTTGTGTCCACACAAGGGAGGACCGTGACAGGTCAGACAAAGTGAGAGCTATCGTCTCATATAGTTCTCTCTCTCCCTCCTTCACCCCCTGCTTCTCCACGTGGGCAAAGCTTTCAGGCCACCAGAGTGGCAGCTCCTGCTTTCTCCCCTGGCACCTGATATGTGCTCCATCAGCAGTCACCAAGTGAATGAATGAATGATGGCTATAGAGTTTTGGTTTCATGAATGTGGAAATAAATGGTTGCCTATGCAACAGTCTACAATTTGGGGTTTTACTCCCTTAGTCTGCCTTCTGCCATGAGTTCTGGACTATTGCAACAGATTCCAGGGGGCAGTGTGTGCTTGATGACGGCCCAGGGCATGGGCAGCTTGTCCCTGCTGTGAGCACACAGCCACTGCCCTTTGGTTCCTGGCACCTGCTCCTGTGACGCTCTGGACAGGGGTTGGGCCTTGGAGACAGACAGTCTCTGCCACCGCTGACTGTCTAAACCTGTTTCCTGACCTGTCAAATCAGAGGCAACAGTCACTTATCAGAAAGGCTGATATGAGGGGCAGGGGACATCCTTGAACGTGCTGAGCCCCCAGCAGGCTCAAGGGGTTTCCTTCTTCCCTTTCAGTTCCAACACTGGTGGAGGGCGCCCTGCCTGGGTTGAATTCTGACTTCACCGCTGGTCCAGTTGCACACTCTGCTTTGGTGTCCTCATCTGTAAACTAGGGGTGCTAATTGTCCCTGAATCCCAAAGTCATCCTGAGGAGTCAGTAGTTTGACATCTGTAAAGTGCTTAGAATGGCGTCTGGCACTAGCCCGAGCAGTGGCAGTATGGGGTGTTCCGTCCTGTTATTTCAGACCAGTTGCACACCGGTCATTTATCTCCAAATGTGACATGCGGGTGAAGCAGTATTGTTAAACTTCTTTGAGTTGCAGTCCTGACAGAGTATCTCAAAGCTTTGAACTTTGCTTGAAATATGCACATATGCACAACATTTTAGAATTTAGGGAGATTCTTGAGTCTCATGAAGTCCATGCAGTCCCTGTGTGCTCAGGCAGTTATTTTCTTCCACAAAGAGCACGACCAGTTGTTTACCATTATTGCTGCCTCTACAGGTCTTCTGGGGCATGGCTGGGCTCAGCCGGGTGGTTTTTGCTCAAGGTCTCTCGTGTAGTTGTAGTTGGACAGTGGCCGAGGCCAGTGTCATCTTGAGGGTGGACATGCTGTCAACCACCATCTGATGTCCCTGCTAGATTGTGGGCTCTTTGGAAGCAAAGAGAGCATTTTATTCCTTTTTCTTTCTGTTTTCCCATCCCTTCTGATTTCCATTGCTTAGCATAGATCAAGTCCTATGTAAGAGTCTGTTGAATAAATAATCATTACAATAACTACAACAATATTGAGTATTATTTGTTACGTCTTTGCAATGTGCTGGGTCTTGTGTTTGATGATGTAACCACAATAAATCATCCTAGAAACCCTAAGGGGTTGGCTTGTCTTCATTAAAGAGAGGAGGTGGTGAAAACCCAGAGGGTTTGAGGTCACACAGCTGCTAAATGGGAGGGCTGGGATTTGAACCCAGAAATCTCTTGAGGGTCCACATCTGACTATTTCTATTAGATTTCATCTCTACCAATTGTGCAGCCAGCCAGGAGCGGCTCCGACCCACATTTTCCCCTCAAAGAGGAGGGTTAAGCTCTCCACCTGGGTTATGCTGGGGACAGAACCACTGTGGGATTCTGCCCCCGCCAGCGCCAGGAAGCTGTGCATCTTCTGAGTGGACCCCGGCACCCCTGAGGCCACGCCACTGCCTCATGAGACCACGGAGACTCTGGAAATCCGAAGGGTTCCCCTGCCTTTTGCCCAAGACCAACGTTCCTCAAAGCGTGGCCCTGGAGTCCACCCTAAGAGAGGGACTTATTCAAAGTGAAGAATCACAGGCTTTTCCCCAGGTCTCTTGAATCAGAATCACGGATAGCGTTGGGGCTGGAGAGATCCGGGAATCTGCACTTGAAGGGACGCCCCCCCACCCCAGAGTCTAGAGGTCCCCGACCGCCCCCAGCGAGCGCGTAGCGCGGCCCAGCCCTGCAGTTGGCAGTTTCACCACCAGAGGGCGCGCCGCCACCTCTCAGCCGCGTGCGCCTGAAACCTCGCCCTGGGCATTTGGAGGAAAAAAGGTGGTTTCCGCCAAGGTTTTGAGGACGCGTCTGGGAAAATCAGGGCCCCGAAAAGTACCTGTCGGACCGGTTCTCTGCGGAAGAGGCTGAGAATGTCCCGTTTAAAGGAAAGCAGGGTGCACAGAAGAAAGGGAGGGGCGGAGGAGGTGAGCAGGGAGACCTCTGGTGGTTTTCGTGTGAAGTTCTGTGTGGTGCTCAGTAAACCCGCATAGGATGAGATGAGCATTCAAAAAAGGCAGCAGAGGAAGTAGTCACTGTTGTCATCTTCTCAGAGTGGGTAGAAGAGTGATCACGCCTCTTCCCCGGATTGCATCGGTGGAGATAAACTTGTGATGACATTTAAGAGTTTATTCGGACTACAGTCCTAAGGTTATGACTGCCATGTGCTCATTATATAGGGGCTGTATATCTTGAAGGGTTTTTTTTGTTTTTGTTTTTTGGGGTTGTTTTTAGGGCTGAAGGAAATAAGAAACATTTTACCCCAAAATACATGTCTTTGACATATTTTGAGATGGCTGCAGGCAAACAGGAATATGCTAGAAGGCTGGGGTCAGGGGATAGATTTGCATCTACAGATCTGAATCCCTGTTCAATGCAGCCAGTTGCTGCTTATTTGATCTGGGACAGGTTTGCTGAGAGTTTGACACTCTTAAAGGACTGAATAAAACCGTTTCCCTGAGGGCTGTTGTCTGAGGCTTACCTGCATAACAAGGCCATCTTTCCAGCCAGGCTTCCTTTCGCCCTCCCGTACCCTGTCCAAAAAATCCTGTTCAGTCATTTTCTAATTCCCTTCATTTCTTAAAAGAGGAGCCCTGTACCTCCTTGGGGGGAGGACAGTGGTGCTCCCGTGACTCAGTTCAGTTCTCAGCCTCAGTTCTCCCTTTTTGGCATAATGATTTTTTTTTTTTTTGGAGATGGGGGAGTCCTGAGATTTTTATTTTTCCTTTACAGGAACTTGCCCTGGCTGGGGCGGCATGTGCAAATGTCCTGCAGAAAGATGGAGCCTGGGGTGATGACAGGTGTTCCTGGGGGTCAGGGTGTGGAGGCCAGGGTCATGGGAGAGGAAGGGGGGAGGCAGGTGTCAGGGGTATGTGAGTGTGCAATCTTGACCTTAGGGAGCAGCAATGACAACATGAGGCAGTTCCAGGCAAGGCCAAAAGCCATAGAGCAGGGGGATGGAAGGGGGAGGTGGGGGTGGGCTTCCTGGAGGAGGTGGCATGTGGGCTGATTCCTGTTTGGTTTGATCCAAGGACACTGATTCTGACCATGCAGAGCAAGTATCACCTTAGCCATTAGCATTTTCTATTTGATCCTGAGCAGACTATTTCAGAAGGTGCAAATCTTTCTGGACTGAAGAGTGAGGGAGGGTATGAGTGTTTCTGTTCTTCAGTGGCCAGCTCTGTCCTCCAAACTCTACTCCTCTGCCCCCCACAACTCCAGCCCAGCCTGGCCCCCTTGGGACCCCCAGCTCTGCTGTGTGCACAGCTGGCTCTGTGCAGCAACACCCAAAGTCCAGGCCTGGAGCAACTCACCTGCCCCGTCCTGTGCCCCTCAGCTCGGAGCCTCCTGGACCTCGAGCCTTTAGAGCTGCTGTGGATTGTAGGGTAACAAGAAGGAACGGGCTTAACCAACTGTTGTGCAGATATAAAGGGTTTATACCAGGCCTTTGAAACGGAAAGTCTGACTCTATCTCTTGATATTTGACCCTTGACAGCTTTTAAGCATCGTTCCTCCCCCTCCCCCTTCTGCCCCACCTCCGGGCCTGCTGATGTGACAGCCGGGTGCCCCTTCCAGTGGTGCTGGAGGCAGCTTGGGAATCCTCACCCCAGCCCCACCCACTAATCACCATGAATCCCCAAGGCAGCCTCCTTTCCTCGCTTTCTCAAGCCA